ATACAAATGTAATGGCGGAACACTTAGTATGAAAAAGGTCTCGTAGCATTTGCCTTAATGATACATGTAGATTGTATTTGCAAATAAGGTCGTTGCATCGACCAAAGACATTGCAAAATTATGACTTTAAACGCGACTGTTTTTATTCCTTTTTCTCATTAAAATGTTTGTCAGTAAAGAGCAAGAGCCTCTTTGGATCTTATTTGGCCCTGAGAATTTCTGAAAAATCAAAACCGATCAGTTTAGGTTGCAAATGCAGTATTTATCACTTGGAGTGTTGGTGACCACGTATCTATTAATCATGACGTAATTTCTATTCAAATCATTATGACGTCATAAGATGTGCCATTTTCCTCATATCCTTTAAATTTCTCTGAAAATGGCCTAAAGTTGAAGAATTTTTCAATATTTCATATAGAGCACAACCTCTGATCCATGAAAGCTTTGTCTCTGAAGATCGAAAAACATGTTTTATTTTTTGGATCGTGGGCTGTGCTCATATTTTAATTCTTTGCTGAAAATGGTTAAATACGCATTTTTTTCTGCAAATTTCAAGAACATTGCAATTTCTCAAACCTGTTTTCCAATATATCTGGATTCTCAAAACGAAATATCTTATAGAAGATGAAAGCACCAAGTGTCTACTTTATTTTGATATATGAAATGGGAAAGAGGGTGATACTCAATTTATTGATATAAGTACAAGGCCATTTTACGCATAAGATGGCTCTTGCTCTTACCTCGTTTTAAAAATCAATTGTACATAGAACATATCGCATCAAATTAGATATGTAAATATGTCACCGTATGCAGGTGATAAAGGTATATTGGTGTATAAATAAGGGAAGCTGACAATTGAAAAGTTAAAGTCATCACGTTTATAATAAAGGTTTGTTGTTAGGTAACCATTAAAGTCTTTCTATTTAAAATAAAATATTCACATATGAAACAGATATGTAAAATTCTGAGATAAACTTTATTCTTAACTCTGGGATTTTTCGTGTTCACTTTTTGAATGGAACTTTCAATTGTTTATTTATGTGTAACATAAAGTAATTTATACCATCTATGGATTAATTATATATTGTTAAGCTTTTTCTGGATATTGTAATGCCACACTCAACCTGTATCGGCAATTTGATTTTGTCAAGTGATCATTGTCACAAGTCTGCACACTGTCTAGAAAATGTTTTCATCCACAGTTGTGACCATTCATTGAAGTTATCCACTTTTATTGCATAATTCGCTAAGTTTATTATAAGGTACGAAAGCCCACAAGACTCATTCGAGATTCAAGTTTCGAAATTCGAGATTCGAAATTCGAGTTTCGAAATTCAAGATCCAAACTAACCAATCAAAACGGGTTCAACATTTGATTACTCCCCTTTGTTATGTTTTTACTATCAAGAAATCGTTGAATGTATTTATAACAAATGGGTCATTTGCTAAAATGACAATGCAAGAAAAAATGCTTTATGTATGTAAATAAAAAAAAATTTGGATTGCATTTTGAAAAATACATATATAATTTTATTTTTTCCATTAAACACAATAGTAAATACGTGTATATGCAATATTATGTGGTCTTACCGTTGACTTTCAAACAAGTAGGTCGACTTTTTTTAATAAGATCATTGCTGAGGGAGAATATTATATTTGATTATAATTAGATATGAAATACTAGTATTATGAATCGTCTCTACACTGCGCAGTAATTCAAGGGTATATATTTCAATACATTTACAAAGGTTACATTTGTGCAGTGAGACTTGGCTGCTGAATCGAACTGTAGCTTTATAAGGTTTCACGAGTATACTTTAGTCTTTGGTCATTACGGTATGGTCAGAGACTAAAATTTAAAACCATAACACTATATTTTTGCATCTAATATCATCTACTATTGCATTGATATAAGATAAAATAAATGCTGCATTTATTTTAATTCATATTGCCAATATGTATTACATGTATAATTTTTAATTAATTCAAGAAATCAAAGCCTTAGATGAAGATAAGTAATTAAATACCTAATTTTTATGTATTTCCTCTATCAGGAAAACGAACGCGATTTTTGTTTTCCAATACTATGTCGCCTCTTAAGTTTTACAAAGTAACATTTTCAGTGTGTTAGGAAAATTAAGCAGGTGGATGGGTAGGAGTGGGGTTATTGTTAATCTTTTGACACTTGACACTTAATTATAACTTTATTTATGTGTCATCATCCCCGACAACATAGTAGATAATACAAATATATATATATATACTCCTGATAAATGTATTCTATTTAATATTTAGTAAGCCATAATATAAATTGAAGTATATCTTGTTGATAAAAATCCAATGCTTACTTAAATTTCGTTCTAATATATAAAATACTCTTTCTTGCATTATAATTTAATCAAATGACTCATTTGTTATAAATATATTTAACGATTTCTTGATATTAAAATCATAATAAAGGGGAGTTATCAAATATTGAACTTTTATTGGTTAATCTGGATCTTGAATCTCGAAACTCGAATTTTGAATCTCGAATTTCGAATCTCGTATTACAATCTCGAATTTCGTATTTCAAACCTCGAATCTCGAATGAGTCCTCTGGGCTATCGTAATAAGGATACTGTTAAAGGTTTGTGCCATCTTTTTTGCCAAATTTTTTTCTAGTCATAGTTTTAGGTTTTTATTATATTTGTTTAATTTTAATTACGAATATTATATGCTAATTTTTGTTCTTATTCTGTAAATTTTGTTTGGCATACAAATAAATGCTCATTTACAACAACTGAAAAGTTCATGTTATATTTGACAAACAAGAGGCCCATGGGCCACATCGCTCACCTGAGAAGCTTTGACCATTCTGTTCTTTACCAGATTTCCTCCTTGTAATACATAATGCATCCCCACCCTACCCCACTGATCATAATTTAGACATTTTGAAATCTACACTACCCCAGGATCCTTCCATGTGCACATAAGTTTCAACTTTTCTGGCAAAGTGGTTCTTAAGAAGAAGATTTTCAAAGATTTTTCCTATATATTTCTATGTAAAACGTTGATTCCCCATTGTGGCCCCTCCCTACCCCCGGAGGTCATGATTTGAACAATTTAGAATCTACACTACACCAGGATGCTTCCACATAAGTTTTAGCTTTTCTGGCCCAGTGGTTCTTGAGAAGAAGATTTTCAAAGATTTTCCTATATATTCCTATGTAAAACTTTGATTCCCCGTTGTGGCCCCGCCATTCCCCCGGGGGTCATGATTTGAACAATTTAGAATCGACACTATACCAGGATGCTTCCATAATTTACAGCTTTTCTGGTCCAGTGGTTCTTGAGAAAAAGATTTTCAAAGATTTTTCCTATATATTTCTATGTAAAACTTTGATTCCCCATAGTGGCCCCGCCCTTCCCCTGGGGGTCATGATTTGAACAATTTAGAATCTACATTTGCCCAGGATGCTTACACGTAAGTTTCAGCTTTTCTGGCCCAGTGGTTCTTGAGAAGAAGATTTTCAAAGATTTTTCCTATATATTCCTATATTAAACTTTGATTCCCCATTGTGGCCCCGCCCTTCCCCCGGGGTTCATGATTTGAACAATTTAGAATCTACACTATACCAGGATGCCTCTATATAAGTTTCAGCTTTTCTGGCCCAGTGGTTCTTGAAAAGAAGATTTTCAAAGTTTTTTTCTATATATTCCTATGTAAAACTTTGATTCCCCATTGTGGCCCCTCCCTACCCCTGGAGGTCATGATTTGAACAATTTAGAATTTACACTGCACCAGGATGCTTCCACATAAGTTTTAGCTTTTCTAGCCCAGTGGTTCTTGAGAAGAAGATTTTCAAAGATTTTTCCTATATACACTGTATTTCTATGTAAAACTTTGATTCCTCATTGTGGCCCCGCCCTTCCCCCGGGGGTCATGATTTGAACAATTTAGAATTTACACTATACCAGGATGCTTCCATATAAGTTTCAGCTTTTCTGGCCCAGTGGTTCTTGAGAAGAAGATTTTCAAAGATTTTTCCTATATATTCCTATGTAAAACTTTGATTCCCCATTGTGGCCCCGCCCTTCCCCCGGGGGCCATTATTTGAACAATTTAGAATCTACACTATACCAGGATGCTTCCATATAAGTTTCAGCTTTTCTGGCCCAGTGGTTCTTGAGAAGAAGATTTTTTAATGACCCCACCCTATTTTTGTCTTTTCTTGATTATCTCCCCTTGTGAGGGAACTTGGCCCTTTATTTTAACAATTTAAATTTCCCTTCACCCAAGGATGCTTTGTACCAAGTTTGGTCAAAATTGGCCCAGTGGTTCTTGAGAAGAAGTCGAAAATGTGAAAAGTTTACAGAAGGACAGACGGACAGACAGACAGACAGCTAGACGGACGACGGACAAAATGTGATCAGAAAAGCTTACTTGAGCCTTCGGCTCAGTTGAGCTAAAAACAGAGCAGAGTAGACTCATGTATTGAGATTTTGGTTTACAGTCAGAAAAACAAGAACGATGGTATAAATCGTCATTATATTTAAATGTCGAGTTGATGGACAAAAGTCTTTTCGTCTTCTCTGTATAGGATTTTAAACACATTCTGCTTAATATGAATTCAAAAATGAATATGCTTTTATACAGCAATATGCTTTGGTTGTTGTCACAATTGATATTGCCTATATGTTATATGCAGAGTGCATATAATATTTTGTTATTGGCAATAAAGTTTACATAAATTTTGATCTCAAACATCTGGGTGCATACATCTGAGTTGAGTAATTAATAACATATGCAGTCAAAGGGTTCCAAAATTTATGTAGAGATAAAAATATCAAGTTTGATTAGTTATCAATGATATATCGGACTTGACACACACTGAGAATGATGTGTTAAGTCCTGAGAAGAAGTAATATCTGTTTGCCTTATTATATATAAGGCACATCTTAGGTTAGCTTAGACATATCATAGTTTATTAAAACAGTGAAATCATTTTGTAGGAGTCATGCCTAGGAAAAAGACTTCCAAACAGACAGACGGCCAGGGTATGGAAGCGCCATCCGCAAAACGTCGGAAGCCAAATCAAGCTTCGGGGGCCACAAAACCAGACCAAGTCCCCATTGACTATCAAAAACTCGCCGCAGAGATCCTACGGCAACAAAATTTGCACCAACCTCAGTCGACTGGTGAAGAAAGAAACCAGGAACAGACTCTGCATCAATGACAATATCACAGATTAATACAACAGCTTCAATGTCATCACAGCCTGCTACATCAGGGTCACAAGCTTCTACATAGGGTCACAAGCTTCTACATCAGGGTCACAAGCTTCTACATCAGGGACACAAGATGCTACCTCAGGGTCACAAGCTGACACAACAGCAACTGTGTCACAACTAGTATCTAGGATATTTGAAGGTGAGCCAGCAGGCACAGCACCCAATAAAACATAATTACATATCAATCACTGATGGCATTCCTCTTGGTGCAACCGTACCTTACAAAATTAAGTCAAAAATATGGTCAAATGAATTTATAGATTTGCGTGGTCTCTTGACGCACCAAGAGGAAGACCCAGTGACCTTACTGATCACACCAGGGGTAATAAATTTGCAACATAGTCGAAAGTCTAAAACGCCTCTGTCCATCAACCAATGGACAGATGCGTTTCTGGTTTTTACGTGTATCGTTATACAACAGAAACCCAATGAGGCTCCCCACCTGCTTAAGTACATGTCATTCATAAGGGAGCTACAAAAACTTCATGGGGATTCAGCGTGGCGATCATACGATGAGTCTTTCAGGAAGTTAAGGGAGACAGTAGACCTTCCGTGGCAAAAGCCAGTGGAGGAACTACGTGGTAAATCATTAGCTGTTTCCACAAAACAATCTAATGGGCAGCCTTTTCGTGGGAAACAGGTGGGGAGAATCGGTGGGGTCAGATTCTGCTTCGCCTATAACCAAGGTAACAAATGTAAGTCAACTCCCTGTCCATTCACCCTCATTTGCCAAGCCTGTAGAGGTAATCACCCCAAAATTAAATGTAAATCTACAGAAAAATCTGAACATGATAGGACCTCTCCCAACCCCAGTAAAGGCAAACAAACTAAATGACCATTTAAGGGGTTATGATGACCAATTGAGAGATTATTTGGTAAAAGGTTTCAGTTTCGGATTTTCCCTGGGATGTGAAAACACTCCTACAGCGTCTTTGTCAAAAAACCATAAATCAGCTCAAAATCACCCAGAAATCATACAAGATTACATACAAAAGGGCCTTGAGCTCCATCGTATAGCAGGACCTTTCCCAAACCCTCCTTTCGATCCATTTGTGTCATCCGCTTTAGGTGTCATACCAAAATCAGAACCAGGAAAATTTCGTATTATTCATGATCTTTCTTATCCAAAAACAAATTCTGTTTACACCCATATTCCAAAAGAAAATTCAGAAGTTCATTATGACTCAATTGATTGGATTATAAATTTAGTGCAAAATCATGGCCTTCGGTGCCTGATGGCAAAGACCGATATTGAAGATGCATTCCGAATCATTCCAATTTGCCCAGAAGATTATCATTTACTAGTGTTTTCTTGGCAAGGAAAATATTACTTTGACAAATGTCTCCCAATGGGGGCAAGTAGTTCTTGCCAGATACTTGAAAAATTCATTGTAGCTCTACAGTGGATACTACAGTCAAAATTCGGGGTTGGGGGAATGTCACATATTCTGGATGACTTCTTCTTTATTGGACCTGCGAACTCTGAAAGCTGTAAGAACGACTTAACAAATTTCCTCTTTCTGTGCAAAAATATTGGTGTCCCTATCAAAATGTCAAAGACACAGACTCCAACTACAAAAATTATAATCTATGGTATTGAAATTGATTCCAACAAAATGGAAGCACGGCTACTAGCGGACAAAATTAACAAGATTAAAATGCATTTGGTAGAACTTTTACAAAAAGATCAAACTACATTACGTGAACTTCAATCTCTGATTGGTTTACTCAATTTCGCGTGCTCAGTAGTGGTTCCAGAGCGTGCTTTTCTCCGACGCATGATTGATCTAACTTGTGGAGTAACTGAACCTGCATCACACATTCACTTAACTAGGGAAACAAAAGCAGATATGGAAACATGGCTATCTTTCATAAGCTGCTTTCACGGGAAGTCAGTTTTTCTTCCGCAAAAGTGGTTGTCCACAGATCACCTTACCCTTTACACAGATGTATCAGGGTCATTGGGCTTTGCGGCGATTTTAGGTAATGAGTGGTTTGCATCTCACTTGGACTTTTTACAAAATGATTGTCAAATAGCAGTCAAAGAGTTATTTCCCATTGTACTAGCTATAGGAATATGGGGGAACAAAATCAAAAATAAAAGAATCCTATTCATGTCTGACAATATGGCAGTAGTACAAATCATTAACAAACAAACATCAAAAGACAAAACAATTATGAGATTAGTGCGCCGCTTAGTTTTAGCAACCTTAGAAAACAACATTCATTTCCGAGCAAAACACAATCCGGGAAAGCATAATATCACTGCTGATCGTGCCTCTCCCGTTTTCAATTTCAGGCAGCTTTCCAGTCTGCACCTCACTTAACCCGCCAGCCGACACAAATCCCTCAAGCCAGTTTAAACATTTGAACTCATCAGCTTGCAATCTTCTGTCAAAAGCTCTTACAAAGAGTTCAAGCGCTGCCTACAAAAGATCATGGGACATGCTAGTGAGCACATTTCCCTCCATCAAATCCTTGCCTGTCTCACCATCTACATTATGTAAGTATATTTCTTACTTATTTGACAACGGATATTCTCCAAATAGCATTGCAACGATGTATCAGCAATTAGTTATGTACATAAATTGTTTGGGACAACAGACCCATGGGATAGATTTCTGGTAAAAAAGGTCATGCAAGGCTGTTACCATTTAGCCCCGTGTAAAGATTCACGTTACCAATCACAGGTCCCATTTTACACAAGTTAATTCAAGGGCTTCAGTTCTCTGTTCTCTGTCTATGCATTTTTACGGCTAGGGGAAGTAGTAGTTAAGGCGAAAAGTCTAGCTAGCACAGTCATCCAACGAGAAGATATTTCATTTACCCTAAACGAGAACTCACCCATCGAAGTTGTAATTGTCTTAAAACACTTTAAAACAAATAAAACAAAGGACCTCATCCAGATCCACTTGAAGGCCTTAAAAGACAACAACATGATGTGCCCCGTGAATGCCTTGTATGAATATGTGAATATGTTTGGTCATCACACCGGGCCTCTTTACCAGTTCATTGGGGGGAAACCAGTCCCATATTCTTTTGTAGCAAAACATCTTCAAAATACAATTCAATTCATTGGTCTCAATCCTGCTCTGTACAAAGGCCATAGTTTCAGGATAGGAGCAGCTACACATGCTGCAAAGTTAGGTTTTTCGGAAAACAGTATTCAAAAAATGGGCCGATGGAACTCAGATGCCATTCGTAAGTATGTACGCCTCGAAAGCTTTAAAATATAGAAACTTTATCAAAATGCAGAACTATCTTTGTTGGAATAAGTAGTAAGTACAGGTTAACTACTAATATGCAAGAACTTTAAACGTGGTGTTTTTTCAACCCACCAGGTCAGAAATTAACTGCTAGGGGATTGAAAAAACCATTTATTACAAGTGCACAGGTCAGAAGTAAACTGCGGTGCAACTGAAACTATACACAGGTCAGAAGTAAACTGCTATGTAACTAAAACTATACACAGGTCAGAAGTAAACTGCTGGGTGTCTTAAACTATACACAGGTCAGTAGTGAACTGCTGTGCAAACAGGTTTTCATGTAAATATATAGTGATGTTTATATTTGGAAAATGTTTTTTGCCTTGTTATTCACAGATATGTGTAGTGCAATGTATTAATCTAGTCCCAAATTTTCCAGCTGTGCCTGCTGGTCCTCATGTTTTGCTATTATAAATAATGTAATGTAAGGGTCAAAATGCAATGTTTTGAAAGCTAGTCTCCAAAAATTTACATCTGGATTAATTATCCTTTTTTACAAACAGAGTGAATTGTTTAACTGTTTACATATTTTTTTCTTGTATGTTAAGATTTACAAAAACTATGTGTCAAAATAGTGTTGATATTGGTCTGCATACCAAAACCATAAGTGCATTTTGTGTGGTCTACCCTTAGATGGCTAGTCCACTTTGGTTGGCGTTTTTGCAAACGTGGTTTGCCTTTTGTGGGCTTCTGTTTTTATTTTTGAACGCCAACTTTTTGGTTGTAATGTATATATGTTTTACAATTTTTTCTGTTATTTCGTACATTATTTGACATGTAACAGGGGAGATCATTACACAACTTTAATTGTTTATGTAAAAGAATATTTGTATAAGGTTTTTTGATCTCCCCATTTATTGTATTCTTTAATACTCATTGTCATTTTCAATAAATGACAATTCACACAAATATGGAGTTGTGATTTTTATCCAGGAAGAAAGTGAAAGGTTATTTAGATCTCAATAATATGTAAACAAGCAGGTATTACATAAATATGCTTTTATACAGCTGTACAGGTCGCAATTGGTATCAATGAAAATTGTCACAGATTGAGTTTATCATTTGTGAATGTAACGTCAAAAGGAAAAAAAATCTATAGAAACACTTTACAACTTTTTAATATAAGTAATCAATTTTTTTCTCACGTAATATTCTTTTTCTGTAACAGTGGCACACAACAGCTACCAGAGCGAGGACAAGGAGGACAAGTACCCCGACAGCCACGCCTATATATAGCCTCAGAAGAGATGAGGGGTCGCCATCATGCACAACAGAACTTCACAGACACACAAAAAGTAAACATTTTAAATCATGCTCATATGCATGTATTGTCATTTCATTTTTTTAATTCATTATCTTGACTTATCTACATACAGAGCGACGAAAAAAAATACACCCTAATATTTAAAAAAAACCAAGTTGAAACATTTGAAATACACAGTATTTTTGTAATTATTTCTTTCCTTTCAATTTCTGTGAAGATTGAATGTCTTCAATCGTTCATATATTTGTGAATTCTCTCGTTTAAAATCATCATTTAGAATTCTCAAGTGGACATAATAATCTTGTCAGCAAATACATTTATCATTAAGTCAAATGCTGATTGAATTTTTATCATATTGATTATTAGGCCATTATTTATCCACTGAGTTGTCCTCGAATTTTCCAATTTCTTACCGATCATGACAAGAAGCACACTGTTTGGGTGACCAATACGCAGGGGATGCTCACTCCTCCTGATCCTATCTCTGAGGTCCGTGTTTGGTTTGTTCCTATTTTGTACTGTTAAATGAACTTTAAAGCTCGAATAATGTTCGTTGTCTCATTTAAAAAGTTACAGAGAATTGTTGGTAAAACTCCTCCAGATATTTCACACATCTGGTTTTAGCTCACATCATGACTGGCGAACAAATTTCCACTAGAATTAATACATGTTCCACAAGGATAGCTTTCCAGAAAGCATTAAATGTGAACCCTTTTGTTATAAACAATATCAAAAATGCAACCCCTTCAGTACTGTTGTTTTACTTAAAAAAAAAACGGGCTTCATATTTTAGCGGCATTGGCGCAGAAAACAATGTGCTAATTCATGAATAGCGCTAGGAAATCTTATATTAATTTTGAATAATATATACGTGTGACACTGGCTTGGGTAGCGCTAATTATTGATTACGCAAACAACTCCAGTTCCAAGGGTTGTTCTAAACTTTGAGTATGCCAATTCATGTACACGTAAAGTAATTTACCAGGCTGAAAATTCTTTTCTTCAAAATTTCAATAAGGGTTTTACAGTTACTTGTATTTAAGTTTTAAGGTGAATACACAAGTCAGAAAGATATTCAATGGTCAAAGTACTTGTCTATATAAGAAAGTAAACTTGTCTGCCTTAATAAAATGTGAAAGACAAAAGACGCGTACGTGAACCATCGTTTCCGAGACCAGTCTGTTTCACTTCCTTAGTGTCTGCTCCATTTCGTTTTCCAAAAGTTTTTCTAGAGACTAGCAGATTGTGGGCTGATATTTGGTTTATGAGTAGTTTATCGTAATGGGTTACGGATTAAGTTTGTATTTCGTTCCATTTCGTTCGTTTCATTGAAGTTTGTATATCTGTTGTATGCGTTTACGTTTGTGTTGTCAATGTGTAAATGCCCAGGTGTGTGTGTTTATGTTTACTGCGTTTGTCTTACTCGACCATTTCTGTTTTTATTGAATGCCATCTAGCTTTCCTGCAAATAAATAATCATCTTGAACAACTGGTACTACAATCTTTACATGTACAAGGATAGAGAGTTATATATTTTGTGGCCGCTCTACAGTGGAACGAATACTATACATGAATATTAATATATCCATTTACTATTCAGTTTCGATGAATTTACGCATCTTACTTATTTAATTCATATTGATATCTATTACATACTTAGTAATAAATACTATTAGTTACACAGTTAGTTAATGACCTAATACTAATAGGTCACTAACTAGCTGTATTACGAAATTGTCCCGCTGAAGACCTTTTTCAATATAAGAAGGATATGGAAAAAACGAACAGTATTCAATCTCAACGTCCATTAAACAATATACAAAATAAGAGCAGAGCAAACACGGACCTCCGAAACATCAGAGGTGGGATCAGGTGCCATGGAGGAGTGAGCATCCCCTGCCGACCGGTCACACCCGCCGTGTGTTCGTTGTCATAATCAGGAAATAACGGAAAAAATCCGTCGTCAATTCAGTGTATAAATAATGGACTAACAATTGGTATGAAAAACGTCAGTCAGCATTTCATTCAATGATAAATTGTATTTGCTGACAAGGTCATTGTATCGACCATATAATTTACGAAATGATGACTTTAAACGAGACTGTTGATATTCTTGTTTCATCAACTTGCTTGTCAATAATTTACCTCGTTTAAGAAATTGTTCATACGTAGAGCATGCTCTTGCGTATCGAATCAACTGAAATATATATACTCCGTATACGTTGACGATAAAAAAGTTAAAGTCATCACGTTTATCATATAGCTTGGTTGTTAGATTACCATTAGTGTTTTTTTCAAGTAAAATATCCAAGTATGAAGCAGAAGTGTCGGACTCTGGGGTATCTTTTATCTCAAGCTCACCAGGATATATCGTGTCGACGTAGGAATGGAAATTATCATTATTAATTGACAATACGTCGTCGATATATCTAAATGTCGAGTTGAAGGCCACAGCAAGTGTTTTCTTCTTTTCACACATAAGGTTTTGCATAAATTCTGCTTCATATGAATATGAACCTAAGTCTGCTAATAACGGAGCGCAATTTGTACCCATGGGAATTCCAATAGATTGTTGGAATACCTGGTCTCCAAAAACCACATAAATATTGTCAATCAGAAACTCAAGCATCTTCTTGATGTCAACTTCAGAGTACTTATGTGTGCAATCAGAATCTGTTTTAACAAAATAATTATTCAAATGACCAATGACGAGGTAAGTAAATTTACGAGTTCCATTTTTGTTGAAGAAGCAGCTGTCAATGATATCAAAAAGCCTGGATTTTAATTTGTCGTGGGGAATTGTTGTGTATAAAGTTGAAAAGTCGTAAGTTTTTAAGCTGTTGATTTTTGTAAAGGCTTGTGATTTCAAATTGTACAAAAGTTCTTTAGAATTTTTAAGTATCCACATCTGATTTACACCACTTCTTGAATATATAGTTGTACAGTACTCTTGAAGTTTTTCCTTCCCTAATGTTTGTGCATATTATAAAAATATCGTTACGATAACAAGAAAGAACTTTATTCGGTAATAACCATGCAATATTTGCCCCCAAAATCAAACTTTGATGGAGATATATCTAAATATTTACATTCGCTGTGTGGTTTTCTACTAAGCCAACTGTGAAATTGATTTGAAAATCATTTTCGTGTAAACCCACGCGTAGACATATACACGGAGAAACGTGTGTTACCGGGACGTCACAATAGGGCTACAGCGACGTTAGTAAAAGTATAACAATAAAGGACAGCGAGAAATTCAAATATTGAGTATATTTTCGGTGCTTCCAAACATGTAAGATGTAAATATAAGAAATGTTTTTAAAACAGAGGAGTATACGACGACTTCAAAGCACTGAATATTTTCATAAGTAATGACGCCATATGTACGTAATGAAGTCACAAACATGACGTAAATTTCATTTTTTTTATGAATTTTACAGAAAAATGTACAATATTTCGTCGATATTTTGAGTAAATGTCACCGAGCGCATGTGTGTTCAGGATCAATATTTTGATATAATGTGTAGAATGATAATATAAATGAAATATGGCAATATTCTTCCAGAACAAACTTGCGCTCTATAAATTTTAAAGCTAAAATTGTTGAAATTTTGTCCATTTTGTCCTCTTTCTGAAAAAGGATATGAAATTGGACTAGTTTGTGACGTCATAAAAACAAAAATTGTGAATACACTGCTTTGACACTTTAATATTTTCTGTTAATTTATATTTCTCATACAATTTATTGAATTCAGCACATTTCAGGAAGTTTCCAAAATTTGACATTTGTGGGGGCAATTATATATGCAATATACCGCACATAGTTCTTGAACTAAACTACCTACGTAAACCTTTTCTTAGCCGCCATTTTTATTTACAATAACAACGCTGCGAACGGAATCGCGTGCCCGATTTTCATATTACTCCTCGACGGAGACGTAATACGGTAATTTCAGGGCGTCATGTGATCAGCTTTTATCCAATCAGCAATTAACAAATCTGTCTGAAGCGGGATAAAGGAGTTTGCATATGCGATATGTCTGACGTCAGAATAGACGTATCAGCCCTGCAGTGCTGATATGAATTTGCGGGACTTATACGGATCAATATCACACCCTTAGTAACTTATTATTATTATTTTTATTTTACTAATTTATAAAGCACAAAATTACATATAGTTTCTATAGGGTACTTGTGATCACACTTATATTTTTCTTGGGGGGCAGGGGGGTACATATTCTCTTAATTTTAACTTTTTGAAAGTAAGAATACTGAGTAATCTAATTGACAAATAAGAGATAATTTTTAAATTACGGATCGGACACATTTGAATTAGAAGTAGACACAAACCCAAACCGTATGAGACAATAGACCATGTACATTAGAGAAGTCCGTGCATGATTATTTACTTATTTTCTTCTCAACCTGATGTGTACTGTATTTTATTATAAAGTATGTAATAAACAATAAAACGCACCCTTTTCAAAATCACATCCTGTATCAGCCCTCAGCCTGTGGCCCTCTGGCTGATATTGGTGTCTCGGGCTGATACAGGATGTGATATGGAAAAGGGTATATATGATTCTTTATATATATTTTATTCTTTTTTTCAGATTTTTCTAATACAGACAAGTATATGTGGTCACACCATTTTATCGTTTCAGGTTGTATTTACAAGCCCAGTTGCATCATTACAAAGAAGCCCTGGTCACGGCCGCCTGTTTATTTTATATACATTGTTATTTCGTAAAATACCGCAAAGTTTACTACTTTTGCTTCATAATTGATGCCATTGAATATAAACTTTTAGTATTTTACTATCTTTTTTGCAATTCAAAGATTGAAGAACCTTTAGCACTTTCACATTAAGTACATTCAGAACTCTGATATAATAACAATTCATGCCTGTAATGCAATATAATCAAGTAAACATAAACAGTCGATGAAAAACTTCTTTCATATTTAATACAGGTACGCTCGTATATTCCAGTAAACTCAAAATACATAACAGAGTCCACCTCCCTCTTTTATGACCTTTTAAGCATTTCTAAAGAAATTGATCTCAAAATTTTAATGCTTTTTTCCGTATATTTCTTGTAATTTTTGTAAATAATAATGTATATATATTCTAAATGCAGTATTATTATTAAGTTTCTGAAAATGGTAAAAAAAAACATTCTGTGTGCCCCTTGTCCTGATCGGGGAATAGCTGAAAAATCCGTTAATGGAATGGAATAATGAAATAACAGTTAGTATGAAAAACGTCAATCAGCATTTGACTCAATGATAAATTTCGATTGCGGCAAATATCACTAAGATAATGTATGTTGTTTAACTTAAGATTCAAGAAAACAACTAGTAAATCAAATAAAGGAGATTAAGAACAAATCTTCTTTGCAATTGTTCCCTCTTTCTAATGAAACAACTTGCAATTAAATAGTACAAAAACAAGATGACTTTATCTTCTCTACTCATCTTCTGTAAAGTATGTAAAAGTATTCCTCTATCACCTGTATATGGTGTTTATACGTCTCCAAGTTACCTCCGCACTGAGTGCGATAAACATTTTGATCAAAACAGACAACCTGCAGATACACTAATTTTTTTAAATCTTGTTTAAAGTCAGCATTTCTTAAGGTGGAATAACCCTCTGATAAGAGAGATAACTTTTCTGACAAGAAAGGTAACTTTTTTCAGACATTTTGTCATGAAATTCAGTGATTTGTCATGTCAGAGTTTACAAATTTCAGTCAGAAGGACCATTCTATAGTCAACTCAAACAAACCTATTCTATGGTACAAATGTTGATTCCTAGTTTCTGTTGTTAGTATATTTATTAATTATTTATAATAGTTTACTTAAAACAATTATATTCAGTTCCTTTAAACAGTGTTAATTGAGAAATCTCTATCTCTTTAAGTATAATTTTTTTAATTGTACAGAAATTTCAGATGCAGGATTGTTTATAAAAATTTAATTATTATTTTGTTTCATTAAAAAATATTTTCAAGGGCGATAATGGAACGATAACTCTTGTTTATGGATGCGTGTTATTTTACATGCACAGAAAACAATTTGTTATTCTGATTTAAAAAGCAGCGCTTCAGTATGTTTTCTAATGGGAATTAGATAGGTATGATAGTAAATATTATTTTTATATATACCTCATATTTCTAATTTAATTGTGAGATAAAAAATAATTAATCTTTCTGTTTACCATATCAAATTTTCTTCACATCATGATTTGACATATTATTCATTTCTGAAAAAGTAAGCAACGCTTCATACTTCAAACTATTTTCCATTTGAATTCAATGCTATAGTTGTTGCTGAAAATCAATGTCTGGATTTTTAAAAAAAAAAGTCTTGAAATTTGGAGCAGAGGGATATTGCCCCTTAAGTAAGTAAGTAAGTATTAATAGTCGGACTATAAACATTTAACACAAAACAAGAGCTGTTTTACTGACAACTATAAAATGTACCTAATCCTATATATAAGAGAAAAATCATTCTTGAACAAAATGGAACATAAATGACGAAATAAAAAACACAATATAGGAAAGCACATCCAAAATTATACATCAAAGGTTGTGCACTTATAAAATAAGTGAAGAGGGATGTAGGATAGCACTAATATAGTAAAATCATACCTTAAAACCAGAAAACAGTTACACAACAAAGGGGGAAACGTTAAGTATGAGGTATAAAGGTCTGGAGTCTACATATATAAATTAGTTCCCCACACCAAGTTAAAATGTAGTTTGAAAATTGATTATAAGATGTGAATTTCCTGACTTTATTTGGCAGAGACTTCCAGACTTTTGCTCCCTCATACCTTAGATATTTCGTTACATACCTTATTGTACTTGGTCTTTGACTCTCTGTAGTATCTGTATATCTAAAATTGTACGGATTTAAAATAAACAACTTTGGTTATCACGCGACTCTTGAAGAAAACATTATTACCACTGTGCCAAGCTGGAAACTTTGAGAACATTGTTTTAATTTTCGTTTCTAAAAACGCACAAAAAGGGGAATATTTTCCATCAGACACAGTCTTTTGATGCCCCACAGTGTAAAGGTAAACTAACTTAAGTCAGGTATATCAACAAATTATTTATCTCTGTTTAAATCATTCCTTATCATTAATCATTAACTTTTATATTTTTATCAGTTTGATTCGTTGAAAAATAGATTTTCCGTCCGTGGTTTTCTTTAACTAAAATGTTTTAGGTACTCACATGCCCTGTAGACAAACTGGATCTGAAAATAATAAGGATGTGTAAAGCGTATATATTATCAAGTCACCCCAATAGGGACAGGTTAATGAAAGTAAGGCCAAAGCTTTAGTTAAGTACTGTAATTGTAAGAGAAGTTCAAATTTGTACCTTGATTTCTTTTGATTTATCTATATAAAGATAGATACCTATCTTTAGTGAGCTTGAGATAAAAGATACCACAGAGTCTGAATGACGTTTTTCATGCTTATTGTTAGTCCATTATTTATACACTGAAGTGAAGATGGACTTTTCCGTTATTTCCCGATCATGACAAGGAACACACGGCGTGTGCGACCGGTCAGCAGGGGATGCTCACTCTTCAACTCAATATCCTTCTTCCAAGATCTTTCATTGGATACCACTAATTATGATAGTTTGACCTTGACTTTATTAGATTAAACTACTAGTATTTTTTTTTAAATTAACCTTGGCAATACTTTTTACAAAAGATAAAGGCTAGGGCTTTTCATCTTCACATACGTAATTTTTATGACAATACCTTTCCTAGGATACCAACAACTTTGACCCTTTGACCTTTACTTTAAAAACTTTAACCTTGGCCATTGCTTTTGAACAGTTCAAACTAAGGCTTTAATGCTTCAAAAATGTTATCCTTGTGACAAGACCTTTGTTTAAAATCAACAACTTTGACCCTTTGACTTTGACCCTGGAATTTGACTTACCTTTTAACAACCTCAACCTTGGTCATAACTTTTGAACAGGTGGCTCTATCTGGTCAAAGGCCTTACTTTGGGTACTAACTAATTCGATTTGCAACTGAGAAAGGTTTACTTTCGCTATGTTGCCAAACGGGGGCATTAGTTTAATAAACGCATCTGTTTTTCTTGGCTTACATGTATACTTTGAAGGATAAGGGGAGTTTCAAACTTCTTTCCTAAATTTTTTTTTTCATGCACCACACATTATATACTGTATACAGGGGAATTTTCGCACCAGTTTTAATTTTGCTCCTTTAGCCCTATCCTTCTGTGGGCGAATTTAAAACGGGATGAATTAAAAGAATACATTTTATTTTCTTAAACAAAACGATGATACGGCAATTTAAATTTAAAACAGGACAAAATTGTTTTCAAGTGTGAAAGGGCGAAAATAACCCTGCATACAGTACCTAGCTGAATTCACTTAACTTAATTTTAACCAAAGAAATGGGACATCGAGCCTTTCAATGAAGGGTTTTAAATGTAAAACGTAATATTTGGTGAAAAACTGGGCGGACAACAGCCCCCCCCCCCCAAAAAAAAAAAACACTACCTCTGGCAAATTCTACGTGGTAGCTCTGAAAAGGTTTTCGTACTTAGTTTATCCACAGATTAATTGTTTTTTAAATTGTTTGACTATTTCATTTCATTCTTAATTTAGAAATAATATGAAATATATTAAATCATATTTAAAAAAATATAATTTAAGTCAACCAATATAAAAACAAGATGTTTTTGTGAAACACTATGCGCCCGGCGTCAACAAAGTTCGAAAAAAGCTATTTTTACTATATAGGTCACAGTCAAGGTCACAAGGTCATTGACCTTGGTGTTGTTTGTAAGAACTTAATTGTGGGGTTTTTTTTTAGATATGAAGTCCCTATCTCCTATGGTTCAAAAGTTATGGCAAAAAGTGGAAAAATATTTTTAGCATATAGGTCATAAAAAAATCACATGGTCATTAACCTTGGTGTTGTTTGAAAGAACTTTATTAGTGGAGTATGCATACTAAATATGAAGTCCATACCTCCTATGGTTCAAAAGTTATGGCAAAAAGTGGAAAAAGCTATTTTTACGTATAGGTCATAGCCAAGGTCACAAGGTCATTGACCTTGGTGTCATTTGAAGGAACTTTATTAGTGGTGTATGCATACCAAGTATGAAGTCTCTATCTCTTATGGTTCAAAAGTTATGACAAACAGTTGAAAAAGCTATTTTTAGCATATAGGTCACAGTCAAGGTCACAAGGTCATTGACCTTGATGTCATTTAAAAGAACTTTATTAGAGGAGTATGCATACCAAATATGAAGTCTCTATCTCTTATGGTTCAAAAGTTTTGGCGAAGGTTAAAGTTGACAACAGACAAACAGACAAACAGATAAACAGACAAACAGACAGGACAAAAACAATATACGCCCCGGATCTATCAATCCGGGCGCATAAAAAACTCTCTAAATACTGTTTTCAACATATTTCATGAAATAGCCCTATTTCGTAGTAATTTGTTAGATCTGTGAACTTCTGATATTTATTGCTTTTAAACAAAAAAAATGTTACAAGTTTTTACATACAGCTTCAGCTAAAGACAATTTTTGATCAAGTTTAATTTGTGAGATAGGGACTAAGGTGGGAGAAAATATCTCTCAAAACAAGGGTGGTACAGACGTATGTGACCTGTACTTTTGCCCTAGAATTTTTATATCATAACGCATACACTTTCCTCGGTATTTCATCAGTGATGTATTAGATATAATCACAATAGGGACGAAGGATAATGGATTGACTGTGAATTTCTTTGCGCCGTCTCGACATTATTTAAGCCTTTTCAGAGGGACAAAAGAAAAAAAATGTCTTGTGGAGAAATATTGTTATTTTACATTTAGATTTGAATGCTATCACTTTGGAATTGGAGTTACATGGCTGTTCAGTAAATAATGTCATTAGCTCTATGACATACAACATAGAAATCATATGACATTAAGCTTGAATTTCTCTATTTATTGAATCTTTATTAAATTGATAACAGTTTATGTGACTACTTTTCATCACATACCGGTATTTTGATTGTGGGAAGGTAGAAAACAGGGGCTATTCTAAACACTGCATAAAATGAAAGGTAAAGAATAACTAAACAGCAGTAAAATTAAAGGTTTCATTAAAGCTGATGTAAAATTTGTTAAGAATCCCAAAGAAATATTAACCGAAATATGTAAAATTTACAGCCACCAATGTCTGTTTCATAGACACACGAGCAGATGGATTTCAATGAACAAAAATGTTATATTGGGCATCAAAACTGGGTACCGTCCTTGGTGACAAGGACATAAAACAATTACTTTGCAACAATGCAAAAATTCAACAAATTACCACTGAGTATGTTTGATTGACTTTAAGACACATAGCAAAGTTGATAAACATTATTTTGGGGGTAGTTCACACTGTTTTAAAGAAATATTGAATAGTATAAAAGTTTAATACTCAAAGGTGGCCCTATACCGTATATCAGGATTTTTCCGCGTGTATCCAATTTCCGCTTTGTTCGCGACAAGTTCTGAAACGCGGAAAATAAAACAGCGTAAATTGAATACAAAGTTTTCTTCTTGTAGTAGAATTATTTCTTAATGCTTATATCGCAGAGGGTAGAAATAGCGGGATCAGAGGACAAGCGCAAGATACCGGTAATAGGTACAAACCCCTATTGTTTGTTTACCAATTGACATTAATTAGCTAGCTAATTATATGGGTCACTTTCCTTGCGAGAAGCTATTAAACTAATTATACCTGAGCTGATAGTCTGTTTGGAACAGTAAATGACCTATAATTGTTTAAATCTTAAAAAATAATATCTGTGGATTTGAAAGTTCGTACGCAACACAGGTGTGTAATCAGCTGAGCGGCTCTTCCGAAATTGACGAGGTGAAGGTCGGTCGATCTATTTCTCACCCGTGTGAAGTTACTGAAGCTTAATGACTTTACATTATACATCCCATTCCTTCATAGGCTTAAACAATTGTTAATAATATAATCACTGGGACTTTGAAATAGTGAAAATTTGATTCGCGTAAATTTGATACACTGATTTAAGTTCTGATTCGCGGAAAAAACATGACGCGGAAAAAACCTGATATACGGTATATTGAAAAACGAGTGAAAGCGACGGCATGCAGAGTAAAGGAAGTTAATGTTTTGTCATACCAACTACTGTACAATCCTTATTTGTCGCGAGTACTTTTAATCGTGAACTGGGTCTTTCACGTCAAATCGCGAGAAATATAATTCGCGAATGGACAGTTGATCAACAGAATTTACATACACTTCAGCACCATAAAATTAAAAGCGAGTAATATTTTTTGCGTATAATTAGGAATCTACAGTATATTCGCCAGATCTTTCAACATTTGACTTGTTTCATTTTCCAAACGTAAAAAAACCTTCAGAAAAAAGAAAAAAGTCCAGGAAATCACATGATCTGCTTCATTCCAGTATACTAAGTGTCGTTTTAATGTGTTCTAAATTTAATTAGAAATTAAAAAAAATGTTACGGACATGTGTTTTAATTTAAAGAGAATATCTAAGTGAAATCGCTATATCACTCATCACTAAATCATAGAAAAACGTTGTTTTTTTTTTTTGTTTCTTTCCAAGCACCGATGACATTATTTATTGAACAACCCTCGTATGGCAAGCATTGACAAGGGGCGAAAAAAGGTCTTTCCGAACTTGTTCTTTGATCGTCTACAAAGCATTTACCAATAAAGTATTAAGGCCTAGAAAAAATATGTTTGTTTCCGCTTTCCCGACCGACCCTAATTTATAGTGCCGACCCTAAATATTTTTCTAATGCTTTTGGCCCATGATGTGCAAGATTTCACCCAGGGAATTATAGTCTCCAACTTTGCAAGCTTTTCAAGACAGAAAGAAGTTTGGATCACCTTTCTATTATAAGTTTTAACTCACAGAAATGCTTGAAAACACCATTTCTTTTGTCATTAAAAGTGATGGAACGATTGTCGCCGACAATCGATTGTCGGTCGTTAGAAGCTGTTCGATGCTACTAATCGATTATAAAATAAATGTCGCCGACATCGCTAACAAAAAATAGAATTGCCATAATTTAATTTTATTACCAAATCCAAGTGCAAAGAGCATAAAAGTAGTGATAAACGTTGAAAACATGGAAGGATTCCGTGTCTTGTTGATACTTTTACCGCCATGATTAAATATGGGGTTAGACTAATACCAGGAAACGCTAATATTGCAAGGTTTTACTATACAAAGGAAAACATAATTAGTCTAGTCAATCTTTAAACGTAATTATTATCATAAATACAAGTCTAACTTCTTTATAATTACTTTTAACACTTGCAATTTTATTATTTTAACTAATTAAAACTAATGTTAAGAAAAATATACATGTATTAAATGAAAGGTGGGACTAATATCAATAAAATACCCTTTGTATGGACTTTACAAAAAAAAATAAAATAAATTCCCATTCTGTTTCAATAGTCTTATATAGTCTTATATTGTTTAAAGTAAACAAAATATTATTTTCCACTTTTTATAAAAGAAATTTCAATTAACATTTTTGAATATTTTATTTAAGTGAATGTTTTTTTGTAAAAGTCTGACAGAAATCTGAATAAGTTTCAACTTTTCTATATTAATTTTATTAAAGTTCAAAATTTCGATTATGATCGATTATTAATCGATATGCCCAGCCGATTATTACCAATGATCGATTCTGATTTTTTTCCGATTCCCCATCACTAGACTCACAAATGTTACTACTATACACGTTTTGATTAATGAAGCCAAAAAAAAAAATTTTAAAAAAAATTGCCTACCTACCTACCCTATATTTTTTCAGCCCGAAAGCGGAAACAAACATATTTTTTTCTAGGCCTAAATCAAAATACATTATCAGTCAGATAAAACAAAGGGAAAAGAAAATATGCCCAATCTTATATTTTACAGAGTTTGTTTTTATACTGTCCTCTAAGATATAAAATTGGGTGAAGGTCATTGAACACCTCTACCCTGAGTATTGTGTGGGATAAGTATAAGAACAACTAGTTTGGGATGGAAATGCAGTGAAACTTAGTCTAATATATTGATAGCTTAAAGGCACATACTGTACATCTTTAAAACACATATTGTACAGATCGGACATAGGATAAAAACTAGATGTGATTGTGAAACACTATGCACCCAGCGACAACAAAGTTCAAAAAAGTATTAGGTCACGCATATAGGTCACAGTCAAGGTCATAAAGTCATTGACCTTGGATTCATTTGAAAGAAATTAATTGGTGGAGTATACGTTTTAAATATCAAGTCTATCTCGTACGGTTCAAAAGATTAAAGTTGACAACAGACGGACAAACAGACGTATGAGAGAGAAACAGTATACATGTACGCCCCTGATCTCTCAATCTGGGAGCATCAAAATTTAAAAAGACATTAATATTAAACTGTCTTTCCCCCTTTAATGAGATATTAACTTTTTTCAATATTAAGCTTTCCTGAATAAATTTAAAGATCTTAATACATTAAACTTTTTAAAAGAAATATATCTCATACTATGATTAAATGTCGATGGAATATATTTGTTGATACTCACATTTATATACCTCATTGGAAGAAAATGACTTATTGGGACACCCAGCTGACTTATCACAAAGAACAGTAGTTACATCTCTGGCCACCTGATTGTACTGAGGGCAGAAATCTTGGAAGAAAAACATTTTTTTTATTTATTCAAGATTACAAAAATGCAATTTTAATTAAGACTATAAAGTAGTAATAAACAAACGATAAATCCATTTGATATAACTTCTTTAAATCTGCAAAAAATGAGTGTATATTTTTTCAGTAGGAAACAATGTTTTCAAATGTCTGAAAAGAAAAAAAAAATCATTCGATGTTTTTGTTCTTGTTATACATTAGAGCTTGGTTGTTAAAGTCACTCAAATACATATTCATTAGATCAGTCTCTCAGATTAATTTATAAATATTTCCTGCTATTTTTTATATGTATCAAAAATTTTCTTTCAATATTTAGCAAATAAATGAAGGCTCTGAATCAAATAAATACGTGGTAAACATACTTTCGTTTTAGTTGTCTTACTTTTTTGAACCTGTGCAGGGGGTCCTCTGAGGCATATTTCTCCTAGATTTCCATTATTATCAAAAAGACAATGATAGACTTTATTCGTTTTAGAACAATTCCAGTGCTGGTCTTGATTTTCCCAATCATTTCTATTGCCTGGACACGATGCAGTATTCGAAAACATGGTCTCCTAGGTTTTCCCCAGTGTCACCTGAGATCGAATATTTTTAGCGCGCAAAGTATTCCCGTTCTCTTGCTGTTTCTTTTTCACAAGTTCAAGATAAAGGTATATTAGTTTAAGGACCTTCTTTACACTAGTGAAAACTCTGTTGTTTTGGACTTTGGGAAAATAAAGCGGCGAGTTAAAGTGACACATATGAAAAAAAACGAACATTATTCAAGCCCAAAAGTCCATAAAACAATACAAGATAGGAGCAAAACAAGCTTGGACCTACAAAAAAATTAGATGTAGGATCAGGTGCCATAGAGAAGTGAACAGTCACAGTCATTGTGTTCTCCTTGTCATGATCGGGAAATAATGGAAAAATCCGTAGCAATTCACTGTATAAATAATGGACTAACAATCAATAACAAAAACGTCAGTCTGCATTTGAGTCACTGACTTAATAATAAATTTTATTTGCTGACAAGGTCATTGTATCCACCACAGAACTTACAAAATGATGCCTTTAAACGAGATTGTTTAAATTCTTGTGTCATTAACTTGTTTAATTGTCAATGATTAAACTCATTGTAAAAATCGTTTATTCGTATAACATGATCTTGTGTATCGAGTGAATTGAGAAATATAATTCTGTATGCAGGTGATGTAGGTATATTGCTGCATAAGTAAGGGAAGTTCACGATAGAAAAGTTAAAATCATCATATTTATCATAGAACTTGGTCGTTAGATTACCATTAACGTCTTTTTCGAGTAAATATCAAAATATGAAGCGGATAAGAGATATGTCAGACTCTGTGGTATCTTTTACCTCAGGCTCGTGGATTTCGATTGCCGAAAATATTACTGAAATAATACATGTTGTTTAACTCAAGATACAAGAAAAAATGGTAATTAATTAAATAAGAGAGATTGTGTCAGACTCTGTGGTATCCTTTATCTCAAGCTCACCAGGATATATCGTATCAACATTTGAATGGAAATTACAATTATTAATTGACAATACCTCGTCGATATATCTAAATGTCGAGCTGAAGGCAACAGCAAGTGTTTTCTTCTTTTCATGCATAAGATTATGCACAAATTCTGCTTCATATTAATTCGCAGTTGGTATCCATGCACGCGTATCGGTAATTCTAAATTAACTAAAATGAAATCCATTTTTTATATAGGGAACATGTAATCTTTACCGAGATTTCATGGTAAAACACAAGGTTTACCAAAATTTCAAAGTTATCCATCTTTGTTTTCCTAAATAAGTAATGTTTTATGAAAATCCATATAATTATCTATAAAACATATTAAAAAATCAATCGAATATGTTAAATTTTGAAAATTGACTTAGAGGTAGGCAGGTGAACAATACTATTGTTCGCAGTTCTTTGCCTAACAGAAATGAAGATTTAAGTTTATTCTTATTGTCACTTTATAAGTAGGTCTAACTTCACAAAAGTAATCCCTAGGTCGGAATGCAGTGCAAAAAAGAAGGTCCTGAAAATAAATAAAAACATTCCAATTATTCTTCTTTTTAAGAATTATGTAGTCTTGCACAAAGAAATTAAAATTAAAACATTTACAAGTGGAATTCTTTTTAAAGAAGGAGGGTCAAAAGCACTTTTGGGTCGGAAATCGTGCAGCTCAGGGGGGGGGGGGGGCTTAATTATCTTGTTAAATACATATTTTAAAAAAAAAAAAGATATATTTAGAAATGGTTCCTTTGTACCAATCCATTTGTCATTAAAGCAAACAAGCAGGATAACACACGGAGACATTCATTGTTCTATTAAAATGAATTCAATTTAAAGTTTCCGCCGAAATATGGCTGAAAAATTGCCGACTCGGCGTTAAACAATATAAAATCAATCAATCAATTTAAAGTTATTTAAGATTGAAAGAGTTCTGTGAATGTGAATATCGTCTTATTTTTTTCACTCATCACAGCTCAATTTAGCAGCTGAAATGCCTATTGTTTTAGAAAATGGTTGATGTTTTTTTTATTATATTTCTACAGAAATGCACTAAATTTTATATATAAATATAGATTTCTCCATGAGCGGTAATAATGTGTCGGTCCCAACAAAATGACATTTTCCTCGACACAGTAATGATTCAGTCTTTATGTGTGTCACTCAGTTAAAATTTAGAATAAAGTAAGATCTGTGATGATCAGAAAATCAAAAAAAAAAATCTCCCTGAAGTTTTTTTTTTTCAAAACTAAGCTACTGTCTTTCAATTTTTACGAATGGATTTTTACGAGAAGCGACTTTTACAGTTGACGATTTACTCTGTTAGGAAGCTCTTTTACGATATAAATATTTAGCCCAACCTTTAAGTTAACAAAAACAACAAGATATTTCAAAGCACAGGTCAGTTGCTCTTGAAAAAAACGACAATTATCCCAACCTCAAATCCAGGCCTTCACATATAAGTGTCTCTTACACAATAACTATGACCACTAGAAAGTTTTCTTATCTATTATCAATTATGTACCTCCGTAGATGATACAGGTTTAAATGTGCAAATAAACAGCTATAATGCAGAATAATGCAGCTATACATGAATCAAAAGTACGACACTTGGCCTTAAGTGGATGATCTCTTTATTCGGCTCAAAAGTCCTAGAATGGAGTAAAGCAACATTCCATTATCAATCACATATGACATTTAGGAAACCCTCTCCTCCTTACCAGTTTATTTTCTACAGACAAGACTACTGTTCTCGTAACTTATATCTATGATATCAAGGAAGTGTGATGACGATATTGATCCGTCTCAATTAAGACCCAGTAAACAAAATACGTGTATATGTATCCTATGTCACTCGTACGGAAAGGTGTCCTTCTAAAAGTTTGAGACGAGAATTTCTGTTATAAAACCATCCCATCAGCTTTTTCCTAATCTATAAAAATTATACCCGTACCCGTAGAAAATAGGAAATGCATGTTCCCGCTACAACAAATTTATTTTTTTTTATTTCTAAAACATTTACCAGGTTTTTATTTATGAGGAAATACAAACAATTATAAATTACTCATAAGGGAACACAAAGAAATAGCATAAATTCATTATGTAAATCGCACTTCACCCGAGTATACCCGATAGACCGGACGCATTTCATAGCGGTCCGGATTTCTTTCTTTATTAGTGTTCTTAAAAATTTCCAATCCAACATGTAATTAAGTATGTAAATATCTAGTGTTTAGTAGTTTAGTAGTAGTGCTAGTTGTTTTTGTTTCTCTTTTTCCTTTGTTCTTATGACTTTTTAATTTTTTTCTTTGTCCTGAGGAAGGGACAGGGCGTCCCGAAAATTTGACAATTTTTATTGTTCGTGTCGTTGGTCATTTTTAGTGCTTATATATATATATATATATATATATATATATATATATATAGATAGATATATAGATATATATATATATATATATATATATATATATATATATATATATATATATATATATATATATATATATATATATATATATATATATATATATATATATATATATATATATATATATATATATATATATATATATATTGTAAAAGTGAATTTCTCTGTGCTTTCTATATTAATATTCCTTCACTTAGGGCAGTTATATTAGTTTAAGAGTTGTTGTAATTTGTGCTTTATAAATAAAATCAATTTCATCACAACATGTATTGGTAACGATCCTCTAAAAACTAATGTCCTAATAACTGTATCTCACTTCCATTCTCAATGACCGTGTAGTGTAGGGCAGCGTTGTGAGAATTCCATCGGCATCGAAAGCAAGTTTACCAAACTTGCCTAGATAGCCGAGCGGTCTAACGCGCTGTTCTGCACTGCTAGGAGACAGATTCCGTAGGTCGAGAGTTCAACCCCAGGCTGGGGCGGAAGTGAGTATCCTTGTAAAAGTGAATTTCTCTGTGCTTTCTATATTAATATTCCTTCACTTAGGGCAGTTATATTAGTTTAAGAGTTGTTGTAATTTGTGCTTTATAAATAAAATCAATTTCATCACAACATGTATTGGTAACGATCCTCTAAAAACTAATGTCCTAATAACTGTATCTCACTTCCATTCTCAATGACCGTGTAGTGTAGGGCAGCGTTGTGAGAATTCCATCGGCATCGAAAGCAAGTTTACCAAACTTGCCTAGATAGCCGAGCGGTCTAACGCGCTGTTCTGCACTGCTAGGAGACAGATTCCGTAGGTCGAGAGTTCAACCCCGGGCTGGGGCGGAAGTGAGTATCCTTGTAAAAGTGAATTTCTCTGTGCTTTCTATATATATATATATATATATATATATATATATATTTATTTATTTATATATATACATATATACAGCTAGGATAAGGCTGTCCGTAAAATATCAAGCTGTGCAGACTGTAGTAACTTTTCTGAACTACCTACATATGACGTCATAATAGAATATGACGTCAAGTCACTGCATACTTGAGCTAACATGACGGGGAAAGTGTCATAATTTGTACACCGCATGTAGATTTATTTTGGGGCGTTGTTGTTTATTTTAAGTGTTAGGATTGTTTTAAGCTCCAGTGTGCTATTATGAAGTTGAACATTTGAAAGAATGAGTGCACTTAAGCTATGAGAGTTGGATCCCGATGTTTTGCGCAAAATAAAATTCCAAATTCATTAAAATTATGTTTTATAGATATTAAACAATGTCTTAAGAGCAGGTTTTGGTATATTATATTACATCAAAGTATTAAATAATGCCGAACGACACTTGTCTAGCTTTTGAGACGGGGGTCTAACAGTTTTGTCTCATTATGTTCCCCAAACGAAGTTGGGGAACATATTGTTTTTACTCTGTTTCTTATTATTGAAGATATTCTGTGTGAATCCACAAGAGAAGTATGTCCTCTAACTGAAATTTGTTGGGGGATTGTGTGTAGTTCATCCACTTTTGTATAAATCGCAATAAAGAGTGGAAAACACCCCCTCTTTTGTTGGTAAGTTGAATTTCTCGTAAAATATTTTCTTAACGAGTAAAAGTTAAACCTGCC